CATGGAAGTATCAATAATTCTGTATATTAGGTGTATCATTAATTGGTTAATTGGTTAGCAGTGTTGAAACCAAACCAAACCACCTAAACCAAAATACCAAATAGCTAAATTATTTAACCAAACCAATTATCCAAATTAACCAAACCAAATTAACAGAATGCTACCGGTTAATATGGTTACCACGGTAACCAATCCGTTTGAACACCCCTAATATGAAGACAGTTAATTGAGAGGTATACAAGATTAAAGAGAATTGTTGAGCTTTCTAGGAAATGGTCGTGTTAAGAAAGCAGCAGGTGTTTTGATTTGTGTAAGTGTAACGATTTCTGAAATTTGCATTGTTGCTTCCTGTCACCACTGTCGAAAGAGCTTTTTTTTTTGCTGTGAACTACATGAAGTACACACATTAAAATTAATAGTTTGGTCAAAATCTGGATTTTATGAAACTAAGGATTTATGATGGAATTGATCAATTTGATTTTTGGATAAAACCATTGTTTGTTTGATAAATTTTGTTAAATTGTATTTGTAATTATATTATGAATTTACCTATCTACCCTTACTGACCCTTATTTATTGTTTGAAACAAGACAACATCATCCCAAGATTCCATCCCCCTCTTCCTCGATGTCCCACTCCCTTCTCCCAACCAACCTCGTCCCAGTCCCCTCTTCCTCTCGTACCCATAATCGATGGGGAACGAATGATGATTAGAACCAGAAAAAGAGAAACCTAACAACAAGAATATAGATTATAGAAAGAGAGGGGAGCATGATCAACCTACAAGTTTGTTACATATCGATAATCAGCCGAGCTAAGAAAATGAGAAAGGACAAAGTGGGCATTAGCCAACAAAATGAGGATAAAATAGGAAATAAGCATATGGACTTGAGAAATCCACACAGATCTCACCCTTTGCAGTGGAATTTCCAAGTCTATAGGGTCCATGAATTTTTGTCCTACAAAACTGTGGGCCCCACGCATTTATTCCTGCTAAATTCAGAAAATAAATGATGGATTTCGTACAAAGTACATGATGATTGATTTTTATGTACCAAATCCATGATAAAATCCATTAAGCAAACGAGGCCTCAATGTGCCACCAAATGGTACATACACACTATTCCATTTGAACAATGTTTTTACCCAAAATATCTACTTAAGTTAAAAATGAAATATACTCAGCTACCTCATAGTCATTTTTTAATATATATCAAAGTGAAAACTGGTAAGTAATTTGTTTATTCACGAAGGATTTGACAAACACATGTCTAATAGATTGAATCTCAATTTCTTTTCACACTTAGAGTGATTTGGACATTCCTGATAATTGAGGCAAATCAATGATCATCGTCTTCCAATAACTTGCCACAATTACCTCTTCTCGTAAACAACTACAAAAAAAAAAATAGAGGAGCTCCAGCATTACAGACAGAAAACACCCATAGGTTTCATCCCAATGACGGTGAGCTTTCTTAGGTTTGATCAGTGGCGGACCCAGAAATTTTATATAGGGGTGTCCTCTTTTAAAAAATAAATAATAATAAAAATAAAATTTAATAAATATTAAATAATTCTTAAATAAGAAAATAGCCAATTCTTACAAGTTAAAAAAAAGTTCATAAGTATTTTTCATATTCTGAAAAAATTATAAAATACACTTGGTGTCTACACTGCTCAACAAAGTTGTCTCGGTATATCATACTAGACAATCATTCACGAACAAATGCATATTCAACTTCTAAATTTGTTCTTGATGTAACTCAAAGCTGAAAAGACACTTTCAACACTTGTCGTACACCCATAAATTAAGGGTAGCTTGTAATTAGATTAATTGTTAGGTTTTGAAAATAATTAAAGATAGAGACTAGGGTTTTTGAAGGAACTATGATTCTGCGGTAACTTGGGATTAACGTAGCCAGATAGATTAGAAAGAGATTTAGGAATTGAGAGAAATAATTAGGAATTTGAGAAGAATAATTGGGAAATTGAGATAGGAAGAATAGAATTGGGAATTAGAGATTAGGAGAAGAAGAGGGATAAACTGAATAGGGTTTGATTACTGATTTCTGACCAAATCCAACGTAATGACTCAAATACATATTTATAGGGAAATAAGCCTAAAAACCTAATGATACCCTACTAATCTACTTGGCACTAATCGGCTGCCTAACCCCCTAACCACCTCAATATTTATGTTTCCTACAATTTTGCTATTACACAATGTTTAGAATAGAACCACAAAAAAAATTGTAGCCTAATGAAAATTATATTTATTAATAGTAGTAGTGTCCCGGGTTTGAATTACCCAAACTACCACTTATATTCCCATGCACAAACTACAAACGAGAGTAGTATAATGATTTTTTCAATTTTTAGGGTGTCCCAGACTATTAATTATAATTTTTTTTCTATACGTAAATTACCACCGGAAGTTGGATAATCGTTTTTTCAAAATTTAGGGGTGTCCGGGGACACCTCCAAACCTCCCTAGGTCCGCCCCTGGGTTTGATGGGTGGCAGTTCGGTTACCGGTTAACCGACCGGTTAAATCGATAACCGGCCGGTTATCCACTAACCGGTAACTGAAGTAACCGAACTTCGGTCGGTTATCGGAAGCTGGTCAAAATGGTTTTTGGTCTTAAAAGTTGTTCGGTTAACCGATAACCGAGGTAATCGAGAAAACGAAGTCTATTTCGGTCAGTTTTCGGTAAGAGGGTGTTTATTTTGGTTAACCGATAACCGGCCAATGGGTTACCGGTTATAACCGAAATAACCGAATTGCCACCCCTATTTGATAGTATGTTGTTGTTTCATTTCACTAAGGAGAAAACATATTCCTAAAGAATATTATATGGGTTTCAGGCCAGGGTTTCTCCTTCGACAACGGCAACAACACCAACACCAACACCATATATACAACATCAAACCTTACCGCAAGCACCCGAGTTCTTACCGCCGAGAGCGGCTCATCCAACCCCATCAAAAAGTCAAACAATCGGGAACTTTCTTGTTTTTCGTGGATGCGAAGCAAAACTCCGCATGTGCAATGACCACAAGTACAGATTGGTGTGGGGGAGATGGTGCTGGATTCCTCCCAAAGGGATCTCAATTTGGTGTAGAATGCCGAAACAAAGTGTTTCTCTTGCTGAAGGAGACTGATCATCCGTCGCAGTTCGTAAGCCCGAGAAGCGTTGCCCTGTCCAAAACGACTTCACAAATCCTCCCAAATTTCTCCCAATGTCTCAGCAAATCGAACACTACTACATATCTCTTTGTTCACTGCAGTTTTGAGCCACCCTTTGGTTATGGCGTCACAGCGAATCCAAGCGTGCAACTCGACGCCACCATTGGGTTTAACCAACGTTCCATCAATGAACACAAATTTGTTCTTGACGATAGGGACGTCCTTCATGTCAAGTACCCATTCGCCATATCTGGAGGCAGTGAGAACGTCGCCGACCAGCATCTGGCCATGCGAATCAGAGTTGGGAAGACGGTATACCGACGACAAACTCTCATCGTCGTGCTCCATCTTCGTAACTGCGACTTTCACGCCTTCGGCATTGGTTTCTTCTTCGCCCATCGTCGCTATCGAGGTATGGACCTACTACTCTGATACCATGAGAAATTTAGCAGAATCAGAAGATAAAACGCACAAGACACAACGATTTTACGTGGTATCCCCGACGAATCAGGACTAACTCACAGGAGAGCTTGAAACTCTCCTGCTATTGCTTCTTATTGATTATTTGATGATCGGCCGTAGCCTGGTGGGACCAGCTGTCAAGTCCAACATATAAGTGTGTGTGAATTTTCACTATATGTTGGATCTAAGTAAGACATATTACTTTGGTGTAATGTTATATATTATTACTCATATGTTAGACGAGATTTGATATAATTTATCAGGATAAGCACAATACAATGACTCTTTTCAGATTTTCAGACTAAAATGAGCTAAATGCGTGACCCATTAACTCTTAACTTATTAGCTAGTCAGGGTCTGGGTGGGTTGACACTTGACAACCTTGCGTTAGGATTTTTCAGTCTGCAACTTTCTCGCTGCTCATGAACCCATACTTTACCCATTCAGACAGGACATGTCGCTGGGCGGAAGATAAGATAAAGACAGGTGACAGTTATTGAGGTGCTGAATTTAGAAAAGCAGGGGACTTTGCACACCACCTACCTATTGCCATTTGCCACTGCTAACTAACTATATTCTCAATGACAAAAATGTGAAAGAAATTTGAACACCGTATTAACCAAAAACTTACGGTAAGAACTAAGAATAGTGAACAAACTATTATGACCCAAAGCATTTGCATGCTTTTTGGCTCTCTTCTATGTCTAAACAACATCGAAAATTAGTCGAGAGCAATTTTATTTACCACCGTGACTCATGGAGCATTTTCATATTAATCAGGTTTATTAAATTATATGAATATAAATCAATTTATCTTAATGACAATAATTCTTCTTCCAACCAATTGGCAGACTCAAAGATAGTATTTTCAATATTCTTTAATCAGTGGATGAGTCAATTTGTGGGTTAACCATATCTACAAGAGACGAAGTGAGAAGTGTGTAAAGTACTAGTAACTTCTTCATTTAAAAAAATTTATTATAAATATTAATCAACTTGTCTAATGACTAGTAGAAAAATTATTTAAGTGTCACAAGCCAACCACCTCAAGTTTTTGCGAAAAAAGTCACGATAAAGTGGTTGTACTACTAGTTTTCAATCTGAAGCCCTCAAATTCGATTTTCAGTAACTAAGCTCATTGCCTCCTCACTCTTTTTTTTTTTTTAGGGTGAAAATTGCCTCATCACTCTAATAACACCTTGTAACACGCAAAAGGGGGAAAATCACATCTAATAAGTCTTTAATACTGTTAAAAAAAAAAGTCTTTAATAATTGGATGAGTCCCGTTTATACGTCGTTTTCTCAAGCTGCTGGGCTTTTATATAGGTAGAACTTCAGGGCTTTTTTTTATACTACATTTGTATACATTATAACGACAATATATGTTTCTCTCACTCTCCGGCCAAACATTACAATTCATCCAGTAACGTAGCTTCCACCAGCGGCCACAAACATGGCCGGCGGCGAAGGCGACACAAAGCCTCTCCATATCGCCATGTTCCCATGGCTAGCCTTCGGCCACATGCTCCCTTTCCTCAGACTCGCCAAAATCATGGCCAGAAAGGGACACCGGATCTCCTTCATCTCCACTCCGCGCAACATTGATCGCCTTCCCCAACTGCCTCCATCTCTCACCTCTCTCATCAGCTTCGTGAAGCTTCCCCTGCCTCCCGTCGACGGCCTTCCACCTGCCGCCGAAGCAACTTCCGACTTGGAGGGCCATGACGTCATCTACCTAAAGCGAGCTTACGACCTTCTCCGGCAACCACTCTCGGGATTTCTTAGTAACTCCCGTCCGGATTGGATCCTCTTCGACCATGCACCCTTCTGGCTGCCCGCCGTCGCTCGTGACCTCGGAATCCCGACCGTGTTCTTCAGCATATTCATCGCCAGCGCGTTGGCGTTCACCAGCCCGCCGGCGGATGAGGAACAAGAGTATAGGAGAACCGCGGAGGAGATCATGGTGAAGCCCAAGTGGGTCCCGTTTGAGTCCGACATAGCGTGGAGGTATGTATCTAACACCATACTTTCTTCTTTTGGTAAAAATCACCATACTTTCACTTTAGTGAATCATGGGAAATAATTTAGGGGTCGTTTGGAAGTTGCGTATGTTAAATCTTTGTATTGTTATGAATCACTATGATATAAATGCATGCATTGATACAATAGATGTATTTTGAAATTACATTGTTTGGTTGTTGGGATTATAATTTATGAATTGATTGTTATAAAGTTACTTTATAAGGAAATGTCATATTTGTCCTCCACTTTTAATATAAAACAAAAAGAACTATGGACATAATTGGAAAAAGTAAAGGTGCTCAATTATTAAACCAACAATCACAACAATCTCAACTTTTAGTTGAGATTGTACAATCCCTCATTTTTGTTGATTGTTGGTGGGACCCACACAAAACAATACATGCATTGTTTTACAACTTGACACTTCCAAACGTTGTATTGTGGACAATACATGTATTTAACAAATACAACACTAACAATCGCAACTTCCAAACGACCCCTTAATAAGGAACAATAATTTGGCGACTTGATGGGTGCACATGATATGGGATAAGGTTAGATAGTCACGAGCTCATATATATTTAATATATGCGATTTTTTTTTATAAAAGAAAAATCTCACACGAGTTCATTATTATCTACAAAAATAAAAGTTTTATTTATTGGTAAGAAATTGATTTGAACCATCCATTACCACAATTCATCACATTGTACTACCACCTTTACCTTGGTAAGAAATTGTTGTGAACATTTGGGACCATGTACCGTTTCATATCACACCTTGCTATAATGTTATGTACTATGAAACTTTATCATCATTGTTATATAGTGGTAAAACGTTTCTCGACTAAGTTATATTTATGGATACAAAATAAATTAAAATGTTATGTTAATCCTTGTTCTGAAATCTTCAGGTATTTCGAGGCGGAGAAGATATTCTCGATGATTCTTGGCGACGATTTGCATCCCAATGAGTTTTATCGTTTTCGTCAGACGTTGAAAGGATGTGATTTGATCGCAGTGAGGAGCTGCCGAGAGCTTGAATCACGTTGGCTAGACTTACTGCAGGAAATGCACCGAAAGCCGGTATTCCCGGTGGGAGAGCTTCCGGCTCCAATCGAGGAGATAGAGGGAGACGGCTGGCGGGGTACGGGGGTGATTAAAGAATGGTTGGACGGGCAAAAACGGGGTTCAGTTGTTTATGTGGCATTTGGTAGTGAGGCAACATGGAGTCAGGAAGAGTTAATAGAGATAGCCAATGGGTTAGAGTTGTGCGGTCTACCGTTCTTTTGGGTGTTTCGTACCCAACAGAGTTCTGATGATTCAAAATTGCCTGAAGGGTTTGAGGAACGGACAAAGGGGCGAGGAGTGGTTTGGAAGGAATGGGCGCCGCAAGTGAAGATTTTGGGCCACGACTCTGTGGGCGGGTTCCTAACTCATTCAGGGTGGAGCTCGGTGGTGGAAGGGCTTCAATTTGGGCGGCCGCTGGTGCTTTTGATTTGTTACAATGATCAAGGGCTTAATGCTAAGTTCCTTCAACAAAATGGTGTTTGTTATTTGGTTCCGAGAGATGAAAGAGATGGGCAGTTTACTAGGTACTCGGTCGCTAACTCGTTGAAGATGGTGGTGACAGGAAAAGAAGGAGCAACCTTTAGAATCAAGGCCATGGAGATGAAAGAGTTGTTTGGTGACACGAAAAAGCATGACAATTATGTTTATGCTTTGTTGGAGTATCTTGAGGCTAACATTTCGAGAAATGTGTGAAGATAAACTTGGTAATTGTGACTTTTGAAGAACCTATTTTCCTTTAGATTCGTATCGATTCAAAATATGTGCCAATACGTATCGATTCATATAATGAGTTTTCTTAGGTTTTTTTGTGAAATCTTAGGTCTTTTCATTGGTGTGAAGAGTGTCCTTCTGCATGTTTTCCAAAAGAGGTCGGTCATAAGATGATTCGCTTATCAAGAAGTGTGTTTTCCAAATATTCAGAAAATGATGAGGTGCAATGAGTGAAGTTGGGATTTGTGATGTTGAGTTTTTAAGCATGTATGAGATTTCCTATTCCTCCAAATTGAAGTTTGTTTTTCTCTATAATGTTTTGCGCTTGATTATTTCTGTTATGAAGGCGATTGCATGAAGTGGATTGTGATGCTCAATGGCAGTTTGTTGGACGGAATGAGACACTTGACTCTTGAGCACATGTTTTTGGAATGTCCAGTGGCAGTTTCTTTATGGCAAGCTATAGCCCTATGGTCGTCTCACAATACCCCGACATACCATCACTTTGCCCTAATTTTCTTTTTACGATAAGTCGAGAAAGAGGCCTATGCAAAATGGGTTATACATATAGTTCCCTTGCTTTACAGGATCAAGAAAGCTAGAATTTGGGGAAAAAACTTACGACTTAAAACTAAAATAAAAATAGCTTATTACAGTTTTTAGGAAAAAACACTAAAAAATCTTCTATAAATAGTGATGTGATATGTTATACATAATTATGCACAATAAGTTTGTGTACTCCCAATACTAGCCGCAGCAAAGCATAACAAATCTAGTTTTAATAATTAATCTTATAATTCCTTGTTGTAGTTTGATTTGCTACCCTGTTGAAGTTGTGTGCTTCAGTATCCTTCTAGAGATGTTAGGTGGTAAGATCTGAGTTGTCTTTATTGTAACATCCTCTATATGGACAGGTTACGGTGATTACTATTTTATAGTAATCACCGTGGTTACTAAGGGCAAATTAGGTATAACAAAAAATTTATTAATGATCCTTTTTAATAAATTACATAAATATATTAAATACAATTTTTCTCTCTCTTTCTCTCACTTCCACAATTTTTCAGCCAGATCTCTCTTCCTTCTTTTTCTCAATCTTTCCTTGATTTCGTTCATCCAAACTAATACCGCTGCAACAACAAAACAATAAATCAATACCAATCCATTAAAAAAATACTACCATTGTACAAAACATCAATACCATTCAAGAAATAAAAACACTACCATTTCAGAAAACATCAATACCATTGCAGATTTAGTCACTACCAATGCGACAAAATCAATACCAATGTAACAAAATCAATACCAATGCGACAAAATCAATACCAATGCGACAAAAATAATACCAATGCGACAAAAACAATACCAATACGACCATAAAACTACCACTACGGGAAAAAATGACTACCATTTTAAAAAAAATCACTACGGAAAAAAATGACTACCATTTAAAAAAAACATACCAATCCTTAAAGTTTGCTGGAGGTCTGCACGACAACCCTAGGCATGGGTCGTTTTCAGGTTTGGAATATGATTTGAATGAAGCATGGGTTGCGTTTTCCGGAAAGAGCTGAGCGGCAAGAGGCCGACCGGCGGTGGAGGTAGTCTTCCCTGGCTTCGTGATTTGGAAAAGGGACAAGAGAGAATTCCCTCTTCCCCCTCTCTCGAGATTCCTGCTCTATATCCACGTACTGCTGCAGAGAATGTGGGACTCCCAGTTTGATCTGTAGTTTCATTTGCTCAAATGAGACTCCAGGAATAGACCCTAAAACCAAATTCCGCCATGGATTATAAAGTGATACGATTGTGATAGAATTGTTAGATAGACCAACCAAAAAGCAAACAATAACATCAAACCCATAAGAACATAACTCAACCCAAAATCACGGATTGAAGACTCTCCATTCTGCTACAACAGAAACAAAGTGCCCTCGCAAAACCAAAATCGGCCCTAATTGAGATGAGAAACCATGCATACCTCTACGGAAAGCAGGAATCGAATTGGAAGAGATAGCGTCCCTGCAAGCGCGCGTCGCCGCAGCATTTATATCCTGCCTGCAATTCACAGTTTCAGGCCGCGATCAATTTGACATCACCGGGGAGGGTGAGAGCTTGCGACTACGGCGGGTTTGGCTGTGGAAGTAGGGTTAGGGTAGAATATATAGAATAATCTTGTGTGGTCCTTTTTTTTCTTCCAAAATTATCCTGAGGCAATCTTAACCGTAAGATTAAAAAAAGAGGAAAGAGAAGAAAATAAATGGTGGATACTGATGTAGCCACGGTGGCTGCTAGAAATTCAGTTTCCACCCTAACGCATTCCTCCTCTATATGGGTGTTTCTAGACAAAAGGGAGAGCGTTTGAATTTTAGAGAGTGGTATTTTAGTCGTGTTTATTAGGGAGTTTTCCCCGAATACAGCAATAATTAAAAAAAATTCCAAACTATCTAAGTTTTGGAGTGGTTCGAGTTCATTGACTAGTTAGAGAGCCTCGATCTACTTTTTAAGGTAGTGGATAGAGTCTGATGGCCTTGATGCACTACGTTGAAATTTCTAATAGCTTTAACTTTGTGCTTAGTTATCCGATCGTAGTGAAACAAAATTTCATTCCTTTTGAGGACTACAATTTTTTCATAGAAACATTTTCATAATGTATATGAAAATGTGAAAAGTAAAGCTAACCTTATTCTCAAAACCCCTTATATCCAAAAAGATTTCCAATTTCATCCTAGTAAAAGTTGTAGGACTCAAAAATTTGTGCAAAATCAAAACAAACTTTGCGAATATTGGATTACGAAGCACAAAGTTATGATCGTCCAAAGTTTGACAAAAAAATGAAAAATTGGTCGTTTGGAGTAGCAAATGACATTTTTTTGATTTACCAAATTTTAAATGATCATAAATTTGTGTTCCATAACTGATTGTAGTGAATTTTTTTTTATTTTGAATAAATTTTTGAATACTACAACTTTTACTAGGAAGAAAGTTTCAAAATAGGAAATCTTTTTGGATATAAGGGGTTTTGAGAATGAGTTTAGCTTTATTTTTCACATTTCACATACACTCTGAAAATATTTCTATGAAAAAAGTTGTACTCGGAAAGTTACGCGGAATCAAAAAAAATTTACTACGATCGGATAACCGAGCACAAAGTTAAAACTATTGAAAATTTCAATGTAGTGGATTGAGTCCTAAGAACTCGATCCACTACCTCTTGTAGTGAATCGAGGTCATCAGACTCGATCTACTACCTCAGAAAATGGATCGAGGCTTTGTAACTCGATACAACTAGTGATTCGAGCTCATTGAACTCGAACCATCCCAAACTTAGGTATTTTGAAAATTTTTTATAAGTGTTTTATTTTAGGAATTTTTTTTTAATTATGGTTATATGTGGTGAGAAAATCCTGTTTATTAGAAAGGAATACTCTGCTGGGTAGGACATGCATATTAGAATTTTATATTGAACATGATATTCATTTATAATTTTATTAATGTTGACATCATTACAATCTTGTATCTAATGCAATTATTGATTGCAACTTGCAGGTACATAATTTTTTATTATTAATTTATTTACTATTTTAGTATTTAAGTATTTATATTTTTAGAATTGTATTAAAAAAACCTAACACAATTGCATGTAAATTTTATTGGCTGGCGTGGCGGTGGCTTCTAGCTCATATATAATTAATTAATCAAGCTTTGTCTTCTTCATACGTCGTTTCTTCCCAATATATATGAACAGTAATTCGAAGATCTTTCCGACGATGGTTCGCCGACTGGATGTTGATCCATCGCTCTAACTACTACCGAAAAGAATATGGGAGGCGGGAATCATGCTTCTGGCCGGCCAATGGATGTGACAGCTGCCAGGAGCCTTCCGGACAGGGTATATATATATATTATAACCTTCTTACACATTGTACGTCCGTCGAGTTTTATTATTTAGAGCAGGAATTAACTAAAATTTTGGACATGATACTATATCCTAACCTCTAATTGATAACTTTAGTCCCTAATTCTCAAACCCAAACCACGAGATTCATTTAATCTAAAAAATAATAACCGATGGTTCTGATTCAATAAAATATATTGAAGTGTAAAAACAAGTGTAAACACAGGCGTACGCCTGACTGTACGCTAGCCTTTGCCGATATACATATTTATAACGGTGATGAATTGCACTAAATCAACAAACAAAAAGAGAACTCTACAAAGCAAAGCAAAAAGCAAAGCAAGGCAAAATCAAATCATTGTAGATTTGCCAGTGGATCAAATCATAAATTATTAGAATCCATTTGTGGTGATGGTTGATTGATAATGATTTCTTGCAAAGTACAAAATTAAAAGTTTATATTTAATTTTATTTGAAATTAGTGGTCAAATAATAGCATTGTTAGTGAAGTATAGGTCTGATTTTAGTGGATTGTTGTAGACTCAAATCCTTTCACAAGAGGGCACCCGTTGTTTTGGACTTTTCAAAATCAATAATAGAGCATCCAATTCTATATTAAAAAAAAATAATAGAGCATCCAATTCCAATTCAATCGAGAGGAAAAAAAACAATACTGGTTAAATAAAATGCAATATCTATTTTTCATTTTATTATAGTTAAATAAAAATTTTGAATCGCATCTCAATTTAGAAACAGACGATGATTCATTTAAATAAAATGCATATGCTCTTCTTATATAACTAACGAGAGGATGCATCTCTCACTCTTCAGCAAACATTAACAATTCACCCAAGTAATATTGCAGCTTGCTGAGTCACAAACATGGCCGGCGGCGAAGGCGATACAAAACCTCTTCATATCGCCATGTTCCCATGGCTTGCCTTCGGCCACATGCTCCCTTTCCTCAGACTCGCCAAGATCATGGCTAGAAAGGGACACAAGATCTCCTTCATCTCCACTCCACGCAACATCGATCGCCTTCCCCAACTGCCTCCATCTCTCACCTCTCTCATCACCTTCGTGAAACTTCCCCTCCCTCCCGTCGACGGCCTTCCGCCCACCGCCGAGGCAACTTCCGACTTGGAGGGCCATGAGATCCTCTACCTAAAACGAGCTTACGACCTTCTCCGGCAACCACTCTCGGGATTTCTTAGTAACTCCCGTCCGGATTGGATCCTCTTCGACCATGCACCCTACTGGCTGCCCGCCGTCGCTCGTGACCTCGGAATCCCGACCGTGTTCTTCAGCATATTCATCGCCAGCGTGTTGGCGTTCACCAGCCCGCCGGCGGATGAGGAACAAGACTATAGGACAACGGCGGAGGAGATCATGGTCAAACCCAAGTGGGTCCCGTTTGAATCCGACATAGCGTGGAGGTATGTATCTACCACCGTACGTTCCTTTCAGTGAATAATGGAAAATAATTTGATGACTTGAAAAAATGGGGTTGGTTAATTAGAGTATTGACTTTTTCGGGATGACTTTGGGCTCACTACTGTTTCGGGCTGACTTTGGGCTCACTGTACTTGGTTCGTTTCCTTTTTTCTGGTTCCCTTGTGTTGTTGCTGGCCATCCGTTCTACCGGGTTGAGGCCTTTTCGGCGTCTTCTGTCTCTCGTCTTCCTTCCTGCAGGGGCGGTCTGGTCCGCCTTGCAGGCTTTGCCTTTCTTCTGGGCTGGGTTTTCTTTTACTATTGTTTTGCTCGCTGGAACTATGTTTTTGGGGATCAATTCTCTTGATCCTTGTCTGCTTTAATAAAATCCATCACACTAATCAAAAAAAAAAATGGGGTTGGTTAAACAGGATATGGGAATGGGACAACGGGGTAAAGGTCATATTTGGTCTCTTGCTTTCGATTTTCGAGAGAGGTCAGATTTAACAAATGAGATTGTTATTTTCAATTTTGTCCACTGAATTTATATTTTCTCTGTTTTAATTAGAGTATTGAAAATCGATTAATGAAGGAAGCCGTTTATTGTGATCTATAAAATAATATTAATAAAATATATATGAAAGAATTTTTTTTCACCGTCCGTTACCATCATATACCACTTAAAATACCATCTTTTTCCTTGGTCATTTTATTTTGGAATTTGAATTTTTTCAAGAAAAGTAAAAATTCATTGTGATCTATAGAAATTCGATATAATTTTAAAGAACAATATTTGAAAACAAATATACCAACATACAGTGGGTTTTTTTTTTACAACGTAGTAGTTAGGGGTGTTCAAATGGTTACCATGGTTTTAACCAAACCAAATAAGGCTAAATTCCATTAAGCATGGAATATAATATCATAACCAAACCGTCCAAACTAATACAACAACCAAATTAACCAAACTAAAGTTTAATCGGTTTGGTTAATTGGTTAACCAGATTAACCAATATAAAATCACATTATCATTGATGATGAAAATTTTTCGGTTAATGCAACAATTCGCAATTTACATAATGAATAAATCATAACAATCAACATGTACTTATAGTTGACCCTTAACAAAAATACATCCAATTAAGACAATTATCTTACGATTAGTATAGAAGTATTCACCTAACAAAAATTTATGACAATGGTATGGGTTAATGAATTGTTGTGTTTGTGTAAATTGACATAGTCTCTTAGCAATTATCATAGGTTGGAAATGGCCTTCCTTTCAAGTTTTCATCCATCATAATGTATGAAATTATCTAAATTAGGCGTCTATATGTTGTGGTCTACACTTTACATATACAAATATACACTATATGAGCAATATTAACCTTTATATCTTATATGAGTCTAAAAGGGATGAACGTTAACTCTTGAGTGGTTATGCAAAGTATTAAGTATGTGTATATAATATATGTTAGATATATGACTAATTAATTAACTGGTTAATTTGGTTTGACGGGTTAGGAGTGTCTGAAACCAAGCCAAACCACCTAAACCAAACAACCTAAAAACTTTAACCAAACCAAACCAATTATCCAAATTAACCAAACCAAATTATCCAAAATAGTACCGGTTAAAACGGTTACCACGGTAACCAAACCGTTTGAACACCCCTAGTAGTAGATGATGGTAGAAGGTTGCTAGTATATGCATATTAATATGTATATCATCATTCTACCCAATGTTATATTGCTATTACTATCATAATACCTTTTTAAACCACATCTTGGTATGATGTAATTAGTATCAAACTTTACCTATAGTGGCAAAATATGGCTCGATCAATATGTTAAAACTAAATCTCATTAATTAGAAGAGTATGATCAATATAATTATTTTGTCAAAAATTTAAGAATCCCAAATTAATATCAAAGTGATGTTACGTTAAATTTCAACGAGAACAAATTCGAAATGAATGGACAGGTACATTGTAAACTACTCTATATTGATCATTAATTAACTATACAAGTATACATCTTCGTTTTACATTTTGTCAATGAAAATTTAGTGTACAATAGTCACATCACATTTTTATATATCATTAGTCATTAATCAGTGGTACAGTTTACGTAAACATGATTCATTAAAAAAAATTTGAAGGCAGAGGATTCGCTTTCGAAATGCATTGTTCTGGTGATCCATGTTTCAAATTTTCCAGGTATTTCGAGGCCGAGAAGATTTTCCCCATGATTCTTGGCGACGATTTGCATCCCAATGAGTTTTATCGTTTTCGTCAGACATTGAAAGGATGCGATTTGATTGCGGTTAGGAGCTGCCGAGAGCTTGAATCACGTTGGCTAAATTTACTACAGGAAATGCATCAAAAGCTAGTATTCCCGGTGGGAGAGCTTCCGACGCCAATCGAGGAGATAGAGGGAGATGACTGGCAGAGTTGGAAATCTATTAAAGAATGGTTGGATAAGCAAAAAAGGGGTTCAGTTGTCTATGTGGCATTCGGAAGCGAGGCAGCATGGAGTCAGGAAGAGCTAACAGAGATAGCCAATGGGTTAGAGCTATCCAACTTACCATTCTTTTGGGTGCTCCGTACCCGACAGAGTCTCGATGATTCGAAATTGCCTGAAGGTTTCGAGGATCGAACAAAGGGACGAGGAGTGGTCTGGAAGGAGTGGGCACCGCAAGTGAAGATTCTTGGCCACGACTCTGTGGGCGGGTTCCTAACTCACTCCGGGTGGAGCTCGGTGGTGGAAGGGCTTCAATTTGGGCGGCCGTTGGTGTTGTTGATTTGTTACAATGATCAAGGGCTTAATGCTAAGCTGCTTCAACAAACGGGTGCGTGTTACCTGATTCCTAGAGATGAACGAGACGGGCGATTTACGAGGGACTCTGTTGTTGACTCATTGAGGACGGTGGTATGGGGAGAAGAAGGAGCGCTCTGTCGAATTAAAGCCATGGAAATGAAAGAGTTGTTTGGTGATACGGAGAAGCATGACAGTTATGTTCATGATTTGTTGGGATATCTTGAGACTAACACCTCCAGAAATTTGTGAAGATAAACTTGGTATCGATTGAAATAATTGTGACTTTTGAAGCGCATCTTTTCCTTCATATTTGTATCTATCCAATATATTTTCCAACTGAACCAAATGATTTAGGTTATATATGGTCCTAAAGAATCCTTTTTCTCTCTAGAGTTGCAGGGGTTCCGGATAGTGATTTTTCCTAGATTTTCATGAAATCTTAGGTCTTCTCGTCGATAGATAGACAACTAAGAAGAGGTTTATAGTTGGTGTTGTAACTACAAGAAAAACTGGGGTATAGCAACTAAAATATTGTGACAAATGCAATATCTGTCTTTAAAAGTACCTTAAACACAACAAATTTATGATTTGTATCCAACTCTAAGAAAAAAGGCGAAACAACATAGCAGCATTGCATGTGCTGTTTTACTTGGAAGTACTCTAACTCTCTCCCTGTGTATTGCCCTTAACATTCAATTAGATGTTCCCCATACTCTACTTCTGCATGTGTTTGTACCTTAGTATCTGATAAAGTGATACATGACTTTTATTCCCATTGCATCAACCATAACTCATGATGGCATGCTCATATGACGGTTCTTGGTGGGTATTGGTATGGAAAGGCTGGAAAGAAAAGAAAAGTTAGAGTGGAGCATCGTCACTTCCTATCTTGTTTCTTCCAATATTTTATTTCATAACTTTCAGTTGTATCAGCTGCCTGTGTATTGCAAAGCAAGAAAGTTAAGTGGAAAGAATACCGGAAGTAACACTTTTTAAGGTTCAAGAACAACCTACTCAAAAAGTTGTGTAGGTCGAATGACATTTAACTCTTTCTTCATGCTACCTTATACCATTTAATCTCAATAGTATAGCACTCTGTTGGTGAAATATATATATATATTTTTTTTTTTGTTAGTCCTGTCAATTTTCTGTGTATTCTCTCTTTCCTGATTTCGTGGTCTTTAAAGTGTCTTCTCACGCCATGGCAGCAATAACTGCAGCACAACAGCAACCAAAAGCTGTAAAAGTAGCAGCATAACAGTAGGTTAATATTTGTTCTGATCGAGATTTGAATGCCCAATCTGTCCTAGCTAACCCATCACATGATCTAGGTGCATCTTGGCAATTGGTGCTGGAAATTATAGTCTTGCTCTGCAATTGATGAATTATATAAGGGAGGGAGGAGGTTGTGCAATTACTGTACAATCCTTCATTGGAAAAAAAAATGTACTTCTCTAATAGAGATTCCAAAGCTAAGTGTATTTGTCTTCTCTGCAGGTCAAGAGACTTGACACTAAGATGGGTTGTTCTATTGCTGATAGCTTCTTAATTGTTCAGTAGAGAACTCTTCATGGGAGGCCAGTTGCATCCAGGAATGCTGCTACAGTTGTTTGAGGCCACTTTCAGAATCATGGGTTGGACCTTGGAGTTGCTAGGCCTCATGTTAATCTACAAAATTTAGGTAGATGGAGCTCTCATCTATAACTATTTTATGCTTTTCCTCTTATTCTGAATACTTCAGTCCTTGTAGTTTCTTGTGAGAACTGACAGGGTGATTCATGATTCAGATCTGAGTTAGTTTTCCTTATATTCCTTATAGTTTTTGTTGCTTCTCCCTCTGGAAGTCAGTGCTGATGTCCTTGGAGAGGTATGTACCTATTCTGATTTTCCCTGCACTTATAGGCTTAGATCTTCAAGTTCTCAATGTTAATTATCTTTTGCTCTATAAGAATTCAAGGGTATGTGCTCAAATCATGGGAGATTGTGTTGTGACAAACAGGACTTCCCCATGAAGCAGGGTGTCGTGAACCCTTGTCGTGTCTTCCACTTGCTTACCGCATGATCTTTTAGCTTCTGTTTCTTTTACATTTTTTTTTTTTTTATGTCCACTTGTTTACAACATGCTTCGGGGTAAAAGGCAAAATCTAAATGTATGTGCTGAGTTTCTATGGGATTAGTGACGATTGTGATTGGCAGAGATCTGTCAGTTAGCCTCTCTTTGAAGTAAGTAGATTAAGCACTCTAATACTGATTAAGGTGCCATGTTAGCTTATTTAGGTGCCCTGTTGTTAGAGACAATTTTGCAAAGGTATCTAAAACGCTTTTTCCTGGTGAGGATAGTTTGCAACTGATAGTTTTGGTCCATTGAATATGTAGATTCTAACATCTAGTGTATTTGCCAATCTCTTATCAAATTTCTATGTCTAAAACATATGGTGTAATTTTAAGTTATTTACTATGTTTTTTCAAGATGAGAAACACTTGAAGATTCACGAATTGATGGATGTTGCAACTACTCAATAATATCTTGTAGAAGCAAGCATAGACCAAAGATTTGGATAAATTTAGATGATTTGGTTAGACTGATTGGATTTTTAACTGATTTTCATTATGTCGGAGTTTCATACTACAATAGTTAGTATTTTCAATTATATGTTAATTAGCTTTGGTTAATGAATGGTATATAATTGTATTGACAATAATGTTAGAATCTACACATACATATAAGTGTATGTCAATATTTCAGCTTTGCCACCTCAGCCTTTCCTCGCCAAAACGCACAAATCGGAGGGGCGGATAGGTACTTTCACAATTTGGATTTTCCGGTACTTTCATCTGTTTTTTCGCTATCTTATTTTCAATTGTTTTGCGTCTACTAAGCCATTACTTATTACATGCTCTTTCTCTTGCTATTGAGTTTTTTTCTTCTTCTTTTCTTTATTGTTTAATTATATGTTTTCATCTGAATCCGTATATTTGGGATTTACCATTAGCTCAAAGAGTATTATGCATTCAATTATATGTTTGCAGATAATGATCTCTATGCAGCAGACATGTTATTTGAAAATTCCTTACTAATTTATTTTGGTGCCTTCCGGAATTAGTTAATCAAAGTTGTCAATTGAGTTTATATTGGTGTGCGGTTTAGTAAGTGTTATGATATATTTAGGGCAGAATCAATATTTGTCGGTTAATGTCGGTTTAATAAAATATGTAGAAAATGTAAAAATCCATTAATATTATATGAATTTAAGCATATATATATAAATAAAATTAAGGCTATCTCCTTACAATCTACATTCATATTAAATAAAATACAACATTTCAAACAAAATAACATAATCATATTTCAATACAATATTTAACGTCAACACTCAACATTTATACTTGATTCCAACAAATTACATCAACATTTCACTTTCAAGTTCATAAAATAAATCACAAAACAATATTAATTAAATTTGAGCATCTTGGTCATACCCGGGAGTATTCCAGACACTTTTATGTTCGATATCGGTTCAGCATGATTCTACCGGCGGTTCTGCCACCGGTTTAATAACCATCTCAATCACTCAAACCTCATATATAGTTTGACAAATGTCTCGATTATTAAAACCTAAAATTAAAATCTAATCGGGATGAAAGAATATGAAAGCACATTTAAAATTATGTTAAAACATATTAGCAGATACTTTCAAGTATAAGAGTCAATTTTTTCCTACTGGATCATTTAGCTCGAGCATATATTTGTGTGGATTTTGTTTGTATATTTTACTATTGATATGTGCGTACTAATGTAATTGTTAATCCCAATTTTAATTTGTGCGACACTATTATTGTTTTCAATATTGATCTCACGTGATTAAAATTGTTGGATTTGTTATTTTGAATGACTACAGGAGATTATAATTGTGAAATAATTTGATCGATTTTGAATTCAATGATTACTGATTAATTCAATATTAGTCGATTATGGATATAGTGAGCCCACATGTTGATCTAATACTTGGTTATATTAGTTCCTTTGAGTATGTGAAATCCAAAATGTATGCTTTCAGGTCTTTTAACGGTTTCAAGCTCTCTGTGTGTTAAGCATTGAAAGAACTAAAATTGTGTCCCCCTAAATTAAGCTTTAACTATAAATCTTATGAAAGTAGATGAAGATCATGGCATCTAAATATTTTAGTCAATTGACTTGGCAAGTGATCTTTAAGATATTTTTTGGCATTTTTATGTCAGTTAGATTACAATTAATTAGATGAAACACTCAAGAGAATGATATATAACTTGATTTAGAAATACAATAATTTGAGATGCAGAAATATTAATAGTATATAATTCATTGCTCATGAGAACCCATATTAGTTCTTTTACACAAGACTCATACAATAATAAATATCAAAATTGAAGTTATTAAATCCTCACAAAATAAAAATTATTGATTTGATGATGGTCGGACAAACCCGGCCAATAGGCCGGGCCCTACGCTAGTTTCATGTTATAAGAGTTGGCTTCAATGGTATGTTAATATACGGAATTTTATGTATGGTGGAATTGTGGCTAATGATTGATAATTAGTCATAGTAGAACACCATGACCATTTGCTAATATCTAGATACGAGAGAGCCAACCAAATACCATGAATAATGATTGACATCTAGTCATAGGAAACAACATGGCACGGTAAATACTTTGTTAAAAGGTGTATATCCCGTCTCTAAATGGTTTTTTTTTGTCGGATTTGTGTGGAAAGAATTAGTACTAGTCACAGGGTGCCCCGTGATTAATAGGTACAAATTATCATGGGAAATTATACGGTGATTAGTTGTAACTAGTCATGATACAAATTTATCGTGACCTTTACAATTAGACGCAGAGGTATATATTACGGTAATTTTCCCGTGAATAAAACTATTTAACACGTGAATCACACTTTCAAACACGGTATTTCCCATGATTAAAAGATCTTTTTCCTGTAGTGAACCAAACACTAGATATTTATGTAATTATGAAAACTCACTTTATGAAAATATTATGGATCTCACTTTTATTACACACTATTTTGTACAAATTAATTACCCAAATAAAGTTTTACAAGTAGGTCTCACACAATAAAGTGCAAAATGAATAACACTGAAGTAATGAAGCAATTGATATTTATAAAAAGAAACAAATCTACTTGCAAATACATCAAACCAAACATATCCAAAAGTATAATCTAAAAATAGCAATCCTATTTCATCCTTATGAGTTTTACCTTCCAAATTGCATCCGACCAAACAAAGTCATAGGGTATTTAGGATAAAGAATTGTAATGAGGGATTTTAACACAATCACTCATTGTGCCAGATTTTAAAACAATCTTATATTTGAAAAGATGAGAGTTTTCTCAATTAAAAATCATCACATGTGGGTTTTTGAAATAGTTGATCACCTTCAACTAGTTCATAATCCCTCACTTTTTTCATCTTTTCCAAACTTTTCCCATCACCTCAGTCATTCCGATGCTACCCTTCCTTCCTCGTTCATTCGAGTTCCTTTACTCTGTCTTCTTCCTTCTCCTTCAGCAACGACAGCAGCGTCGATGAGGACTTGACGAGGATGATTGAGAGGCCTTTGAGGCGCTCATTGGCTAACCCCAATCCTCGTACCTTCTTCCTTCCTTCTCTTGCGTTTCATATCCCCTTCGACATCTTCTCCACACAGCGACATCTTGCGTCTCTCCATTCTGGTCCCTGCCACTGCCCTATCTCCACCATCATGTTTCCACTCCCTCCTAGATGGCAGGGAGCTGGTCTGGCCCATGCTCTGCCTCGCGGCTTGCGAATCGTTTGGAGAGAGAGGGGGGAGCGAATCAGTTGTTGAGGGTGACGCCCTCCTCTTTTCCCCTTCGAGCGCGCCATTGCCATGCCCCCCAATTTAAAATTGGGTTAGAAAGAGTTTTGGAGTTCACCCACTAACACAGGACAACCAATCTGCTCGGAATCTCCATATCGCACTGGACGAAAAAATTTAGGATTTTAGATGCGGGTTTTGGAGATGAGGCGAAAGGAAGAAGATGATGCAAAAAGAAATGATGGGGGGGGGGACAAAATAGACTTTTGCTCTATTTTATCAAAAACCTGGTTTGATGCCAAACAAGAGATTTGGTAAAAGTCTCTCATACTAAATATCTAGATTTTTAAAAGATAGATTTCGATCCAAATATCTCATTATGACATTCCTCATCCAAACCCATAATGAAATTCAGAATCTAACAAAAAGAATTTTTTCATTCATATATTAAAAAAAAAACTATCCAAATTAACAAACCACAATATCTTACCTTTTGGGGTACAGCACACAAGAAATACTCTTTCTTTCTACAATTACTCCCTTTTATGGCGACAGCCGACAGTCAAGTAGGTGCATAGCATTATGTATGGTAGATAATAGATATCTGCCCCCATCATATTATCTTATCATTTTTGCGTTGGCTTCTTCCTTACAAAACCTGGTTCAATCGACTGTCTGCTGCATTTGGAATAGCCTTTGTTGGGTCTCTTCCCAATCAACCACGCAACCAGAAATTCGAGCGGATTCAAACACAAATGCCATTGGAATGATAACATTTTCATTTCTCTTTCCGCAGAGGAAAAGATTGATTGACAGGCCGGGCTCACTTCCAGCTCACTCCTTTGCTGTTTGCTCCCCGTGTTTCTTCAATATGAGTAAGTAGCAACCATACTAGTAAGTAGCAACATCTTTGTGGCTGTGAACCACCAAATGGCTGTGTACGTCGTCCATCTCTATCTCAGCCTCTACTAAACCGAACAGAAAAAAAGGTTTGGTTCGATCGAGTGACGACACATAATTCACGTTTTGAATTATATGTTGATGTTGTGGCTCTTAGTTGGTGTGCTAAACCTTTTCCAACCGAATAAATGCGATGCGAGAAGTGGGAATCATTTTCCGAATGCATTTTGCATTGCCTATCATATTATATTATATACTTCATAATCAGTATTCACTACTCTCCTTTTCCCTGAACCCACTACCTCGACGCTCCACAATGGCCGGCGGCGAAGGCGACACAAAGCTCCTTCACATCGCCATGTTCCCATGGCTAGCCTTCGGCCACATGCTCCCTTTCCTCTAACTCGCCAAGATCATGGCCAAAAAGGGACACAAGATCTCTTTCATCTCCACTCCGTGCTGTTAGAAAAAGGAGTGATGAGGGTATTTGTACGAAAGCCCAAGACCGGGTGACAAGGATTGTGATAGAGTCGTGAACAAAATTCACTTTCCGTAAAGAATATTTCCACCCTCAATCAAGCCTAGGGTTACAGGAAATTTCTTCGTAGGATAAAACTACCACCACTTTAGAATCTAGGCTTAAGAAACTAAAGCACACTTAGAAGTATTTAGTAGGAAGATAGAATGAATTCTTTTTGTGTGTCCTCTCCCACCAGCCGATGCCATCTATTTATAGATGCTGAAACCACGAACTACTTCATAATTGAAGCAATACAATGTTTCATGGGTTGACGGGCAGTTAGAAATGAAAAGAGGCATCCATTCAGCCAAGGACGTACATCTTCGTTCATTTCAAAGTCAAGGACAAACTGCCATACAATGCAATGGACGTATAGGTTAGTCCATTTCAAATTTATGGTAGTTTAATTTTGTCCATTACTTTTACAATTATGACACGTTGCTTACATGGAAGTGATATGCCATTAGTTTGAATTAATGTATCATTTCTTTCATGGCTAACTACCATTCCAAAGCTTTGTCATGCAACGTGTGGTAACAGGTGTCCAAACCGGTCTGATTTAGTTAGTTTCAACCAAACTCAGTTTCACCTAATTCCAACATTCCTCCCCCATTTTAGTGTATTCAAAGAATTCACTAAAATCACAACATTCAACCTTCTTCCAACAAAACTTAAGCATAAATGAAAATGTCGTGACGATTGAATTTTCATCTTAGTATATTACACTTGACAAATATTCGAATACAAAGGGTGTCGGTAACGATTGAACCCATTGACTCATATGAATATTCGAAAATAATATACACTTAAGTTTTCAAAACTTCATAAGCGCCTTGACACTATTCTCCGCCATGTGTCCAATCCTTCTCATAAGCGCACACGAAACCAAAGTCCGGGTTTCTTGAAGCGGCCGCACTTCATGCTTACATAGGTTGAATCTTTAATTTGTGTACCTGCACAATACACTTTGTCAAAGATTCAATTAAGAAGTTAAACTTCATCCTCTTCTCTCATGCAGGATAACAAGCACATACCTCGGGATGACACACTGTGTGCTTCAATTTCTGATAATAAGCTTTCCACATTGAATTCAGCCTCTAACATTGTATTAGAGGGGAATTGGGTGTCCCATTATCAGAAATTATATGGACTTTAAACCCATCCCTTTTATAGACTTGACTACCAAGTCTCTAGCTAACCCTTTCGTCAAATGATCAGCTAAATTCTCTTGAGTCCGGACATACTGTAAAGACACAACTCCGTGAGTGATCAATTCACGAATTTTACTATGTCTTACCCCCAAATGGCGAGACTTGCCAATATACATTTGACTATATGCCTTAGCCAAAGTAGCATTACTATCACAAAGGATAGAAATTGGTGAGATTGGTTTAGGCCATAAAGGGATGTCATAAACCAAGTCTCTCAACCATTCTGCCTCTCCTCCGGCAGAAGCCAAGGCCACAAATTCTGACTCCATAGTGGAACTTGTGATGCAAGTTTGCTTTTTAGAAGCCCAAGAGATAGCACCTCCCCCAAGCAAAAATACCCATCCTGAAGTTGAAGTGTGATCTTGAACATCAGAAATCCAACTAGCATCAGTATAGCCTTCCAAGATAGATGGAAATCCACTATAAGTCAAAGCATAATGCATTGTGCCTTTGAGATATCCTAGCACACGTCTCACTGCATGCCAATGATGAGCACTAGGATTACTCGTATACCGACTTAATTGTCCTACCGCATATGCGATATCTGGTCTTGTGCAAGTCATTGCATACATCAAACACCCAATAACCTTGGAGTATTCCATTTGTGAAACAGGATCCCCAGTATTAGGAAAAAGTTTCATACTTGGATCCATTGGGGTTTTTAATTCACGACAAACTTCACTATGAAATTTATCAAGTACCTTCTCAATGTAATGAGATTGAGTCAAAGCTACTTCCTTGCCGTTCCGCTTGATCTTGATACCCAGAATCACATCTGCCTCCCCCATGTCCTTCATGGAGAATTTAGATGACAAAAACTCCTTAGTGATGTCCACTTGTCTTTGATTGGTACCAAAGATAAGCATGTCATCTACATACAAACATATGATGACTCCATTACCAGAATCATCAAATTTTGTATATACACATTTATCAGCTTGGTTTAACTTAAAACCACTAGACAAGACCACCTCATCAAACTTTTGATGCCATTGTTTTGGAGCTTGTTTAAGCCCATACAATGATTTGATCAATTTGCACACTTTATGCTCTTGACCGGGTACAACAAATCCTTCGGGTTGTTTCATGTAAATCTCTTCATCCAAATCTCCATTCAAGAAAGCTGTCTTGACATCCATTTGATGGATAATTAGATTGTGAATTGACGCAAGAGCAATCAACAATCTAATGGTGGACATTCGAGCAACAGGCGCGTAAGTATCAAAGTAATCAATCCCATGTTTTTGTCTAAAACCTTGGATTACCAAACGCGTCTTAAACTTGTCGATGGTCCCATCGACTCTTCTTTTCTTTTTGAAGATCCATTTATTACCCAAAGGTTTGCATCCAGGTGGTAAATCTACCAACACCCATGTGTTGTTCGCCATGATGGAATCTTTTTCATCATTAATAGCTTCCTTCCAAAAAGCAGCGTCACGAGACTTCATAGCCTCATCAAAAGTTTTAGGATCATCCTCAATATTAAATGAATATAAATATTGAGAGTGTACTTCCTCTCTAGACCCTTCCACAAGATACATTTGAAAGTCTGGTCCGAAAGATTTTGCAATCTTTCTTCTTTTACTTTGACGAATAATGGGTAAATTCGATTGTGAAGTATCTTCCTCAATCCCCTCAATGACATGAGGAACTATGTCTTTTGGTCGTTGCATTGATGAAAATCGATTTTCATCAAATATGGCATCTCTTGACTCAATTATAGAATGAATTGAGTAAGCGTCATTTTGTTCTATAACATAGAACCGGTATGCCTTAGAATTTTCAGCATATCCTACAAAGATGCAATCAATGCCTCTTTCTCCTAACGTCTTCCTTTTAGGATCCGTTAGTCGCACGACTGCCCGACAACCCCAAACTCGAAGATACTCTAAGTTTGGCTTTCGTTTATACCATAGTTCATAGGGGGTAGTGACATTCCTTTTATTGGGAACCCTATTTAATAAATAGCAAGCCGTTAGCATAGCTTCCCCCCAAAACCCATTACTCAAACCAGAGTAAGAGAGCATGGAATTGACCATTTCCTTTAGAGAGCGATTTTTCCTCTCCGCTATCCCATTTTGTTGAGGGGTAAACGGTGCAGAGGTCTCATGTATGATCCCCGTACTTTGGAAGTAAGCCGGATCATAGTATTCACCACCTCGATCCGTGCGCAAAGTTTTTATCTTTGCTTCTTGTTGTAACTCCACTTCAGTTTTATATATACCAAAGCGACTAAGGGCTTCATCCTTAGTTTGCAACAAGTACACATAGCAAAACCTCGAATAGTCATCAATAAAGGTGATAACATATTTCTTCCCTCCTAAGGTAGGAGTGCCATGTAAATCACATAGATCACTATGTACAAGTCCAAGCACCTTGGACTCCCTTTGCACATTCTTAAACGGCTCTCTAGTGATTTTTGTCAACATACAAGTTTTACATTTATCATGTTGAGCATCAAAAGAAGGAAGAAGTCCTTCTTTAGACATAGTCATCATTCGCTTATAATTCACATGCCCCAATCGTGCATGCCATAAAGACGAATCAATAAGGGTAGTCATATAAGCAGAAACAATATTATTAATTTTATTAATAACATTCAACATAAACATACCATTATTATAATAACCAAATCCGACAAACACTCCGGATTTAGATAATACATATCTATCAGAGTCATAAACTTGACGATATCCAAGTTTATTTAGTACACTTCCAGAAACCAAATTTTTTCTAATCTTAGGTACATGTAACACATCCCTAAGTACAAGAATCTTTCCGGAAGTAAATTCCAACTCTACGGTGCCACGTCCCTTGACTGGAGCAGTTGACTCATTGCCCATGTGGAGAACACAACCGTCTTCCACTGGTTTGTAAGTTTTGAACCATTTGCGATCCTTGCTTACGTGTATGTTAGCTCCAGAGTCCACCCACCAAGCAACATCATCATCCTGTACAAAATATGCTTCATTAATTAGTGAAACATAATTCATACCCGAATTCGGATCATATTCAAAATCAAAAGTGGAAATGCAACCTTGTGGGCCTTGATCGTTAGATCCTTGCCCAACATGACGATTGCCACTATTCTTTGATTTTTCCATGTGACAATCACGCTTGAAATGCCCTGATTTCCCGCACTTCCAACAAGTAGGCTTAGCTTTCTTGTTTTTGTCGGCCTTGGATGAGTTGTAGCCCTTGTCGCGAGAACGTTTCTTTCCCTTCTTCTGGGAAGAAGACTCTCCAATCTCCATCATATGAACTGATGAAGAATCTTTTGGCTTCACACCCTCTTGCACCCTAAGGTTCTCCTCTATGCGCAAGTGGGTACCTAGTTGGGTTAAATCCAACTCTTCCTTCTTGTGCTTAAGCATGTGCTTGAAGTCCTTCCAAGAAGGTGGCAATTTGTCGATTATACTCGACACAGCGATCGCCTCATCCATGTTCAGATTGTGTTGAGTAAACTGACCATAGATTCGAAGTAATTCGTTATATTGCTCCATCACTGGGCGAGAGTCGCTCATCTTGTAAGTGTTGAAATTACTTACAAGAAACTTCTTGGTCGATGCATCATCGGCCAAATACTTTGCCTCTAATGCATCCCAAAGTTCCGAGGCATTAGCATACATTTCGTAAATGTCGAATAGGGAGTCCGACAAACCATTGAGTATGTGCCCTACACAAAGGTAGTTGTCATTCTCCCACTTCTTCATTTTACGAAGTCGCTTCTTCAATTCCTCATTGTCGACCCCTTCCTCCTCCAAGTTACATTCTGGACATGGGGTACTAATCACATACCCCACCTTGAGAGTAGTAAGAAGAAAACGCATCTTCTTTTGCCATCGACGGAAATGTTCCCCATCGAATTTCTCAATTTTCCCATGGAGAGAGGGTTCCTTGTAAGGAGAAGTACGAGCCATCGTACAAGAGAATATTCTTTACGATTGTTAGAAAAAGGAGTGATGAGGGTATTTGTACGAAAGCCCAAGACCGGGTGACAAGGATTGTGATAGAGTCGTGAACAAAATTCACTTTCCGTAAAGAATATTTCCACCCTCAATCAAGCCTAGGGTTACAGGAAATTTCTTCGTAGGATAAAACTACCACCACTTTAGAATCTAGGCTTAAGAAACTAAAGCACACTTAGAAGTATTTAGTAGGAAGATAGAATGAATTCTTTTTGTGTGTCCTCTCCCACCAGCCGATGCCATCTATTTATAGATGCTGAAACCACGAACTACTTCATAATTGAAGCAATACAATGTTTCATGGGTTGACGGGCAGTTAGAAATGAAAAGAGGCATCCATTCAGCCAAGGACGTACATCTTCGTTCATTTCAAAGTCAAGGACAAACTGCCATACAATGCAATGGACGTATAGGTTAGTCCATTTCAAATTTATGGTAGTTTAATTTTGTCCATTACTTTTACAATTATGACACGTTGCTTACATGGAAGTGATATGCCATTAGTTTGAATTAATGTATCATTTCTTTCATGGCTAACTACCATTCCAAAGCTTTGTCATGCAACGTGTGGTAACAGGTGTCCAAACCGGTCTGATTTAGTTAGTTTCAACCAAACTCAGTTTCACCTAATTCCAACACGTGCAACATCGATCGCCTTCCCCAACTCCCTCCATCTCTCATCACCTTCGTCAAGCTTCCCCTGCCTCCCGTCGACGGCCTCCCGACCACCGCCGAGGCGACTTCCGATCTGGAGTTCAATGACGTCAGCTACCTGAAAAGAGCTTACGACCTTCTCCGGCAACCGCTGGCTGGCTTCCTCCGATCTTCCCGTCCGGACTGGATTCTCTTAGACTATGTTCCCTTCTGGCTGCCCGGCGTCGCTCGTGACCTGGGGATCCCCACCGCTTACTTCAGCATATTCCTCGCCGGAGTGTTGGGGTTCGTCAGCCCGCCGTCGGATGAAGAGGAGGATTACAGGAAAACCGTGGAGGAGTTTATGGTCAAGCCGAAGTGGGTCCCGTTCGAGTCCAACGTCGCATACAGGTATGGAAAAGTTTGATTTCTAGCAAGACAACTTATTTAATTTCCCTGAATTAGAGGCTAGGTACAAAAGAATTCTTTTACGAAGGTGAAGAAGGTAACGTGTTAGTCAACTGTTTTGATAGTCAAATACAATGGTCAATACTTGAATTGGAATATATGAGTAATTTTTAGTGATAATTTAGATCATAATTTTATATAGTAAAAAGATTGGACCAGATTGTAAAGAACAGTAAAGTTCGGGTCAGCTAAAAATATTAACCCATTTATAAACGGGGATTGCAAAATGTAGCTCTAGTCTTATCATAATAGTCCTAGTTTAAATGGTAAAATTATCTATTTATCATTTTCTTCTTCATTATTACGATATATTTTATTCTAAACAAACTCATAAATCCAAAAAAACTGAACCCACGCCTCATCGCCATTGCTGCCATTTACCCGCCGCCGCCCTCAATCAGGAATCATTGATTCACACTGCTGGCCACCGACCGTCGTCGATTCTCACCGTCGACCGCCTTCATCAATGTCATCGTTATGGTAATCACTGCAGGGAGAAGGAACACACCCACCTGTGACAGACGACTGCAGGGATTTGATTCCGGCGATGAGGAGAAGGGATAGACGCGACAGGAAGTTGATTCTAGCTATGGAGAGTAGAGAAAGATGAGGTCGAGAGTTTTTCTTACGTCGGAGTGATTCGAACGATATACAAATCGGGAATGATTGATTCCAATGAGGGGATTTGATTCGATGGAAATATGTAGTGGGGAGAAGAGAGGAGACGACGGCGGCGGAGGGGCGTTTGGAGTGCACCAGGTCGACTTGATGGATGTGAGGCTATAATTTTGGAGAGCGGCATTTGTTGTTTTAATTTACTTTTTTAATGAAGGATAATTTAGTAATTTATTATTTTGAGATAAGGCGATAATAAAAATCTAGGGTGACGTTTAGGGAGCAGATCCGGTGAGTACTTATGGTGCTATAACCTAGGGGTGTTCAAATGGTTACCGTGGTAATAATCAACCCAATTAAGCTTAAATGTCATTAACCATGGAATAAAATGTCTTAACCAAACCGTCCAAATTAACATGAACACCAAATTAACCAAACCAAAGTTTAATTGGTTTGGTTAATCGGATTAACCAAATAACATAGCATTACATCAAAATAATTATCCTGTTAATGAATAAAACATAATCATACGTTATTACTATCATTATATATAAAATAATAATAATAATAATAATACTAACCATTTATGATTATCATTATTATTCGAGTTAATACATCATTCATCATCTTTGCACCTAATATAGTTAGCTTACAACAAACCCTTAACATAAATATTAAATACATATCAATACCACTCATCAAGAAGTTAAAGCTCTCCTACAAAACACTTAAACTATACATAGTTTGAGGTGGCTGTCATGGTATTGTACGTAATCATAAAGTCTAGTAGTTGTCCAAAATGTTTTGGTGCAGTAAATAGGTAGGCCCATTTAATTTTTGACCCATAATGCTTTGGTTTGTTGTACACATGGAAATAAAATAGGGAATCACGAAAGTTTGGTTTGGTTGGTTGCATGGAAGTATAAATAATTTTGTATATTAGGTGTATCATTAATTGGTTAATTAGTTTAATTGGTTACCAGTGTTGAAACCAAATCAAACCAGCTAAGCCAAATACGCTAAATTGTTTAACCAAACCAATTATACAAATTAACTAAACCGAATGCTACCGATTAATATGGTTACCACGGTAACCAATCCGTTTGAACACCCCTACTATAACCCCATGCATAACCCAATAAGAATCCGCCACATCAGCGCCTCCTTCTGTCTCCTCGAAAAACCTTTAATTTTTCTTCCATTAATCTTTAATGGACGATTTCTCACTCGTTTTAACTCGGAATTTAAATTTTTTTGCACAGTTAGATCAGATTAATTGTACTCTTCAAAATGATATCCATTTTAATATTTTTTGGAATGAAAAAAATTTGTCAGTTATTACCATTCTATACCATATGATATTGACTGGTATTAAATAATAGCAGCATATGGTATGGAAAATACCACTCTATATCAGGGTGGTATAGTATGGTATGGAGTTGGTAACGAGAAGTATGAAATTTTTTCACCTAGAAAAATTTGAAAACCAATAGATCATGATTAAATCGTTCCTTCTGTGCTAAAATTTTCGAAAACGACTAAAAAACGAAGGAGATACCATATAGTATGGAGTTGGTAACGAGAGATATGAAATCCGAGTTCCATCTGTGAAAAAAAAATTGAAATCTGAGTTAGAATGAAGAAGATATGATCCAATCAAGAAAACTAAGGAAAATAAATTTTTTTAATTCTCCACCCTTAGATCTGCAGCAACTTAAAAAAAGGTCCAGAATTGATTACTCATAGTTATGCACCTTAAGATTATGCATCCTTCTATCAAAAAAAAAAGATTATGCATCCTATCTTGAGCTCGATGTTTAGCCATTCAATTTATTAACTACGAAACGAGAAGTCGAACATTTAATTAATTTTTTCTATTTCGTAGTGGAATCAAGTTTTCTATTATTCTTTCATTTTAAATAATAGAGATCACGATTTGTATTTTTCTTCTTCGTCTTGGAACATGACTCTTCCTGCGCAATCTTCAAACTTACTCTTGCAGGCAATTCGAGGCTGAGAAAGTTTTCCCGGCACTCGTCGGTGATGATTTGCAGCTCCCTGAGTTCTACCGTTTCCAACAGACACTGAAAGGATGCGATTTGATCGCCGTTAGAAGCTGCCCGGAGCTGGAATCCAAATGGTTCGATCTCCTCCAGGAAATCCACCAGAAGCCGGTGATCCCCGTGGGAATGCTTCCCACTCCGGTTGAGCAGAAAGAGGCCGACAGCTGGCAGACCTCCACGTGGATCAAAGAATGGCTGGACCGGCAAGAACCGGGCTCGGTCGTCTACGTGGCATTCGGGAGCGAAGCGAAACAAACTCAAGAAGAGCTGACGGAGATAGCATGGGGATTGGAGATGTCGGGTCTGCCGTTCTTCTGGGTGCTCCGAACCCGACGGAGCCCCGACGACCTCGACGTGCTGGAACTGCCCGAAGGGTTCGAGGAGCGGACGTGTGGGCTTGGAGTGGTCTGGAAGGATTGGGCCCCGCAGGTGAAGATTTTGGGCCACGACTCGGTGGGCGGGTTCCTGACCCACGCCGGGTGTAGCTCGGTGGTGGAAGGGCTTCAGTTTGGGCGGACTTTGGTGTTCTTGAGTTTTTACTCGGATCAGGGGCTTAATGCGAAGTTTCTTCTGGAGAAGGGGGTGGGTTACTTGGTTCCGAGGAATGAAGTTGACGGGCGATTTACGAGGGACTCGGTGGCCGACTCGCTGAGGGAGGCGATGGTGGGAGAAGAAGGAGCGAGTCACCGGGTCAAAGCAATGGAGATGAAGGAGTTGTTTGGTGATAACGAGAAACATGACGGTTACGTCCATGATTTCTTGGGGTATCTTCAAGCTAATAAATTGCGTTGACAAGGCAAACTCGGCATCCGATGGAATCATAAGTGCATATTTAAAGCCCAATGAATTATGATATCTCTCTTTGGGCCTCGTCATTTTGGGACAAGCGGATCATTTGATTTTTGGCTATTGTACTTCCGAAAAGTTCTAGTAAGCACAGCCAAATCGAACTGAAATAAAAGTAACATTGCTTTGCTTTAATTGTAAACGAGTGCGTAGCACTACTACCTCATAATATTAACATGTATGAGGTGTAGAAACTCCTATAATGTCATACATAATTCAAGATATGATCTCTGGATCATGCTCGGACACAACATGAACACCAAAAGGAACAGAAAATTTTCAATTAGCCAGACAATTGGCTAGAAAATTGCTCTCCCTAAACACATGAGAGAGAGTAATAGTCCAATCTCTCCTAAGAAGGGCACAAAACTAGAC